CACACACTAAACCTCAGGATAACACAATTCTGTGCTGGGGGAAAAAATCTGAGTGAGGTTGAATTCCAGAATGCACTCACTCATAGGCACCTTTGTTGGTGGCACGACACTGTTCACAACACCCCTGTTCACTACTACTAAGATGATAGTGTGTAAAATAAATACACTTAAATTCCAGGGATTTTACATTTAGCAAATTCTGCAAATAATTTCTCAGTAAGACACTCTAAGTCTTTAAGAACAATTTGGGTTCCTAAATGCTTCCTCCTCTCCCACTATCATGATCTCAATTCTACCTTGCAAGTCTGGCTCGACCAGAGGATGTACACAGGTACAGGTAGGAACTGTAAATACAGGGAACCCAGGGTGGATGATCCTTTCAGGACCAGTGGTGTGAGTGGTGATACTGGGAGGGTAGAAGAAGGGTCAGTTGGAAAGGGGGAACCGATTACAAGGATCTACATGTGACTTCCTCCCTGGGGGACGGACAACAGAAAAGTGGGTGAAGGGAAGACGTCAGACAGGGCAAGATATGACAAAATAATAATTTATAAATTATCAAGGGTTCATGAGGGAGGGGAGAGCAGGGAGGTAGGGGAAAAAATGAGGAGCTGATGCCAGGGGCTTAAGTGGAGAGCAAATGTTTTGAGAATGATGAGGGCAATGAATGTACAAATGCGCTTCACACAATTGATTTATGTATGGATTGCGATAAGAGTTGTATGAGCCCCTAATAAAATTATTAATTAAAAAAAAAGGAAAAAAACCCACCATTATAAAAGGATGATTTGGGTTCAGAGTTATAAAACTTTTAAGTCTGGACTGGCTCGATCTTGTTTACCTTGGTATTTCCAAATGTCCATTGTATAAAACACTGATTAATAAATGAAGAATGTGAGATTGGATTAGAGCAAGGTATAAATGTATGCCTCCTAGGAGAAACACACTTAAAACATAACATTGAGACAGTGTGAATGTCATAAACAAAAATAAAAAATTTAAATTAATAATGTTTTCATGATTTATATTAGCAAACCTAAGAAGTAGCTATTAGCCTCAAGACATGAAAAAATAATAATAATTTATAAATTATCAAGGGTTCATAGGGAGGGTAGGGGAAGGAAGGGGAACAATGAGAAGCTGATATGAAGGGCTCAAGTACAACATTTTGAAAATGTTGATGGCAACAACTATACAAATATGCTTGAAACAAGGGTTGGTTGTATGGACTGTGATAAGAGTCGTACGAGTCCCCAATAAAATAATTTTAAAAAAAAAGAACAATGATGAGCAAGCATTGTGGATGAAGCATAACTAGTTCTTTAATCATAAAAGGGTTCAGCAGAGAATGGCCTTATAATTCAAATATGCAGGTGAAAGCTGAGTATTTCTCAGAAAACAAAGTAAGAGTGACTCCTTAGAACAGGTGGCTTCATCATGGCTCCACCATAAATGCATGGGATTGCCAGACATTTCTCATGATCTTTGAGTGGATACCACTCATCGCAACCCTACGGGACAGGGTAGAACTGTCCCTGTGGATTTTGAAGCCTGCAACTGTGTACCGGAGTAGAAAGCCTCATCTTTTTCCGAGGAGTAGCCACTGAACGCAAACTCTGACTCTGAGGTTAGCAGGCCAATACATAACCCACTGTGCCACCGGGGCTCCTGCCACAAGCAGTGTGCTTTTGTATTTGGGTTTTTAATTTCTACCTATAGGCACATAAATCAACTCTTAATCTGACAGATGTAACTGCACAAACAATATATGAGAACTCTAGTTACTCTCCATATATGGAAATTCTTAGAACCTTCTCCATGGAAATTCGTGTATACAAAATACTGGCTCATGTAAATCTCAGGCATGAAGAGACAATTAATAGGAAACATATCCAGTTCATGAAATTGCATAGTAGTGTCCAAACACTCATTGAAAAATTACTGGTTGATCTAATGGTTTTTTATGTTGGCACACCTAGAACCTTTTGCCTGTATTATGGATGTGTGCATTTTTCTCCAGGGAACAATGATGATGCTGTGGGCTAATTGGTGGACAACTAGCCACAAGATCGATTGGTAGTTCGAACCCAACAAATGCTCTGTAGGAGAGAGGTGAGGCTACCTGCTCCCTTCAAGATGTGCAGTGTTGCGAGCAGTCAGAATGGACATGGTGATGGTGAGTTGGTTTGGTGTTCTTGTACAGACTATGGGGGATAAACCCAATGGTGTTGATTTGATTAGTACAGAGTAGAATTTCCCCAAGGTTCCCAAGGTGCCAGTTTTTACAGAAGTGGACTTCCACATCTTTCTGCTGGTGGATTCAATTTTCTGATGATTCAGCTAGCAGCCAAGTGATGAGAGTGAGAATAGTGATTGTGCATTTTTCACATCATTAAACATGTTTTTAGAATAATCACAGAGTTGTGTAACCAGCACAATTTTAGAACATTTTCACCCCACCCCCCAAAAAGCCCTTGTACCCTGTACCCATTTGTTACCACCTCCAAACATAGTCCAAGCACTAATAGATTATAACCTGTTTAAGATAAACCTATTCTCTATATTTCATGCAAATGATCTAATCCATTATGTGTTTAAAACTTACTTTTGAGGTAAAGCCAACATTTTAGGTCTAAGAATGCAAACCCTCCGTTGTTATTTTGTCATTTTTGTTTGACAAGCCGTATCATTTTGAAGATTTCTTTCCTACCCATTGTTCTTTCAAAAGCATGTCTTAAAAAAGGATGTAGTCTTATTTTCAGGAATATATAAGTATTCTAAATTCAAACATTGCTCTTCTAAAATTCCTTACAATATTATAGTTTTGACTTATGTTTAGTGTAAAAGGTAAAATTAATACTCAGGATCTTCAGATTTAACATCCCCTTCAGTTCCTTCACTGTACCCTCGAGGCTGGTGAGTTCATTGTGGTGCAACATGAGGATATGCAATGATCGCAAACTGTGCAGACCTACAAAAACAGGACGTTTTCACATGGCTTTAAACATCTCACTGTTAATCAACCAATTAACAACAGTAAATAATAGGTTACATTTCATAAAAAAGGGAATGATAATTACATTTTGGGCACAATAAAGCATAAAAATTCAAATAACAATTTTCTAGTTGTTGTTTAACTTGGGGGACTTATTTTCTTTCTTTTTGTTTTTGGTTATTATTTAGCCAACATTACTTTGATCTGTAATGTGAGTTAAGAGAATTCATTCAATTTAGTGTCTTCCTTTGAATTGCTCAAGTAAGTGGCTTCTTTGCACAACCAAAAGTAACTCTCATATCATTTTTATTGATTCTAAAATGCACATTTCCCACCTTGTTAACATAAACAAGAGTGAAAAGGTGTTTGTGTGAACGTCACATGAGTCCAAGATAGGTCTTCTAAGTGGTGGTCATGGCCGTAGTGAACTTTACATTTTATAACATTTTGATTCTGTATGATATTAAAGAACATTTTTACATTATATCTTTATGTTTCATGGTCATGCTAAGCTATGATTGTGTGGTTATCATCCCTTTTGTGATCTGATGTTATTATCTACCATTTTGCGATGTGTTATGAATTCTAAACTCTAGATATTAATGAGAAAAGATCAGGGTGGGGCGTATCTTGGCCTTAGGGGAGGTTGTGCCCAGGTCCGACCCAGTAGAGAGTAGAAACACCCATGACTACAAGAAAGATGCAAGCACAGAGCATGTCCTTTGGGCCTGAGGTTCCTGCCCTGAAAACCTCCTAGATAGACCCAGGGTTAGGTTGATGTCAAGACATATAGGATTTTTTTTTTAATATTGGGAACTCATGAAAGAAAACCTGGCTCACAGAAGTTGGAAGGAGTCAAAAACCTTCCCCTAAAACTAGCACCCTTAATTCAAACTTCTGGCCTCCTACAATGTGAGAAAATAAGTTTGTTTGTTAAAGCCATCCACGGTGGTATTTGTTACAGCAGCATTAGATCACCAAGATTCAGCAAACAAACAAAAAACAAAACAAAACAGCCCTCCCACCCCCCCACCTCCTCAAAAAACCCTCACTGCCACTGAATTGATTCCAACTCATAGCAACATTGTCAGAGTAACCTGCCCCAGTGGGTTTCTGAGCAGGTAACTCTTTCTCACCGCCTTCTTTCTAATCAATGCTGACTCACAGGGACCCTCTGTGGGTTTCTCAAACGTAACTGTCGACAGGTGAGGGAAGTGCAGGCTTTCTCCAGCAGAGCTGCTGGTGGTTTTGAACTGCTGACCACGCAACCCCTGGGCCACCTGGTAACTCATTACAGACATAAAAAGCCTCATCTTTCTCCCAGGGAGCAATTGGTGATTTCAAACTGCTGATCTTGCAGTTAGTAGCTAGATGTGTAACCCAGCAGGGCCCCCAATAACTAAGATACTTAACTAAAAATGATCAGTTTAGAGATTATTGTGCATGTGCAATTTACTCTGAGTGGAAACAGTCGTTAAATTGGTAAAAACTATCGGTAATAAATCTTGCAAAACTATGTAAGTCATTGTATTTATGGATGGTCCCACAAATTGTTAAATATGATTACACAAAATCTAGTTTGTCTTCACTGTGCAATATAATGGCAAAAGTCCGGTGTTTAAAAACTCTTCTGCATTTTGAATAAGACACATGACAATATTGAAATAGAACTGTAATCTAACAGTGCATCTTAAAATGGAATGCAAAAATAACCTTTCAACGTAAAGATTTAATCAAAAACTTTGAGCAGAAATATTTAAATAGATTTCTTCATGTCACTAACAATATTATAGATGAAGGTTATTACTTCATTGACAATTTATCCAACTGAGAGAAAATTTGAGACATACCTGTTATCTCAAATATTGCATTGTTGTTTAGATATAATTCTGTCAGGCAATAGTTTCTAGTTAGAAATGTTATCCCATTGAGCTGAAAATTAAAGAAAAATATTTATATGCACATACAAAATATATTTGTAATAAAACCATAAATGTTTGACTTTGCTGCCATAATTAATTCTTTTTGACCTTTTAAGAATTGCATATGGAGAAAACATCCCAGCCCAGTCCGGGTCAAGTCCATAAATCTGATATTAGCCTGTATGTCCAGTACCAGTCTAGCAACTCTAATTCAGACTCATGCAGCCATGCAATGATGCCAAATGCAGGGAGAAAGATCACAGGCCGGTGGGTGGAAAGTCTTGTGGATCCAGTGGCAATGGAAGCATCTCAGCACCGGCGTGGGTCACCACGTGGCTCCTTCAGGCCCAGGACTCTGGCTCCATCAGCAAAGCACATCTGGCTTGTCAGCAGGAAGAGGAAGCAGAGATTGTGTCTGCCCTCCAATGAGCTCTTTATCTCCTTCATGCTTCCAAATGAGGTCATCAAGCTGTGACCTGATTGCCTGTCAGGTATTCAACAAACTGTCAATAGCATTGTGAAGAATGAGATTTCCAGAATGCTTAATTACCCTCATGGAGAACCTGTACATAGACCAAGAGATGGCTGTTTGAGCAGAACAAGAGGATACTGTGTGGCTGAGAATCAGGAATAGTGTGTGTCAGCGTTGTATCCTTTCACCATACTTATTCAATCTGCATGCTGAGTCCGTAATCTAAGCAGCTCAACTCTATGAAAAATGTAACATTAGGTTGTAGCAAGATTAACAAACTGCAATATGCAGATGCTATAACCTTGCTTACTGACAGTGAAGAAGTTGAAGCATTTACTGATGAGAGTTGAAAATTACATCATTATGTATAGATTATATCTCAGCATAGAGACAACAAAATCCCCACAATTGAACAGATAAGCAATCTCATAAGAAACAGAGAAAAGACTAAAGTTGTCAAATATCTCATCCGACATAAATCCACAATCAACACCCATAAAGCAGCAGTCAAGAAATCAAATGACATATAATATTGGGGAAATCTACTGCAAAAGACCCTTTAAAAGGAACTAGGTGCAACTTGGCCCGAGCCAAAGCTTTCTCAATCACCTCATATGCATATTAATGCTGGACACTAAATAAGACAGAAGAATTGATTCATTTGATTTAAAATGTTGGCAATGATGTTGAATATACCATAGGCCATCAGAAGAATGAACAACTATGTCTTGCAATATGTCCAGGTCTCAGGGACGGTGACAGAGACCATGAGACAGAGGGAGGGCTCTCCTGCCCGTGGAGTGTGTAAAGCTGAGGTTGGCCTGCAGAGTGAGATGCAGGGCAAGAGGCCAGGGTATCAGAGAGAGGTCAGGTCTCAGAGAGAGAGGTGGCTGCCAGTATGGCCTAGAGGAGGAACTAAAGACAAAAGAACTATAACCTTAACATTTCTGTAACTTGTTACCTTCTGTACTAACCCTCCACAATCAGGTGTACTGTATGTGAGTTCTATGTGGCAACTGAAAAGGGTTATGGAACCCCGCAGTGAAATAGTGTCATAGGAGGTATGAGTGGTGTCAGAACAGGCTAAGGGCAGAAGGGGGAGGTCTGCCTGACTTCTGCCTCATAGAATCATCTCTAGGATGATGAGGAATGGAGATTTCTTTTTCCTCGGTGAAGCCCAAAGATGTCAGATGCAGCCTCAATGCGGTGTCTCTAGTACCATTTTATGTACTTTATGCATCATGGGACAGCCATCTCTCCTTCCCTGGCTCATTGCCCTCCTGGAGAACAGATCCTAGCTTTCCTGAGAACTGCGGAATCCTTAAGCATTTAGAAGGCAACTCTGTCTGACAAATCCCACCTTATGACAGCCTATCCCCAGTCACCATGCAACCCAACTAGAAGATATTACTTTACACACTCATCTTTTCAGGCCTTTCATGACAGCCTCCAGGCTCATTAACCCCCAACACTTAGTTGGATTTGTACAATCAGTCTTATTAGAATTTCAGATCTTCATTAAGGAGAGAAACAATATTTCTCCAGTATCTTGCCCTGTCCACTTCCTCGCTTTCCTGACAATTGGATGGGAATGTGCAAGGAGGCACCTCCAAAAAGGTGGAATTTTTTTTCAGAGCTACGTTTTTATTTATGTTTTTTAACGAAACAACCTTACCACCTCCAAAGTACTCTCCATTGCACTTAATACATTTGTCAAATCTGTGAGTCCATTCCTGGAAACATTTTTCAAACTCATCTGATTGGATGACTGACAGCCCCTCCCTCATTTTTTTTTCTCTTCACCTCTTCTATGTCTTCAACACGCTGTCCGTTCTAGTTCCTCTGTGTTCCCAGAAACAAAAAGAAGTCACTTGGGGCTAGGTCAGGTGAGTTATGTGTGTGGGGCAAGCGAGGCATACTTTTTATGCCAAAAGCTGGCACACTGAGATGGTTGCATGAACAGATACATTGTCATGTGGCAAAACCAATACATTTCTGTCACAAATCAGGCCTTTTTTGTCACACCCTGTCACACAATCTTTTCAGAACCTCTAACTAGAAAGCTTGATTAACAGTCTGACCCGGTGGAATGAACTCCAAATGCACTATCCCCCTCACAGTTAAAAAAAAATTTTAAGCATTGTCTTGATCTTTGATTTCATTTGAGAAACTTTTTTTGGGCGAGATGATGATGGCATCTTCCACTGGTTTGACTGATGTTTGCTTTCATGGTTGTAAGAATAGCACCATGATTCGTCACCAATAATGACCTTGGAAAAAAATCTTGGTCACTTTGTAGCTATTCTTTCAAAGCACGGTATGCTTCCAATTGATGACCTTTTTCCTGGTCAGCCAGAACCCAAGGAACAAATTTCGCAGTCACCCTTTTCATTCCCAAACCTTCCATTACAATTTGCTGAACCAAGCTCCAAGATAGTCCAGATAACTCCCCCAACTCTTCAATGATCTGTTGCCATCTTCAAGTACAAGTGCCACGGATTGTGTTGGCATTTTCATCTGTTTGGGAAGCTGATGGACATCCAGAATGAGGTTTGTCATCAAGAGACATTTCACCTTTCTTGAAACAAGAAAACCACTCATACTCTGAGTTTTTCCCATAGCTCTGAACTTGTAAGGTGTGTTCAACATCACAACAGCTTCTGCAGCATTTTTCTCAAGCAGGAAACAAAATTTCACAGCAGCACGCTGTTCCCTTAAATCAACCATGACAAAATAGAGGTTTGAGTGAAACTGTTTTTACAAAAAAATTCACTACGACCAGAGAGGACCTTCCCAGGTGATGCCACTGAGAGCCCTAACTCAGAATATGTTGCTGGATGCCCACCTAGTGGCAAAATCGCATACTAAGAAAGCTCCACCCAGCAGAGCTTTTTTCCCAGTTTGTTTTTTTTCAGGGGGATGGGGAGTAGCCCCTATTATCTTACTATTAAGGTTAAATTTAGAGGATATGAATTGTATCCTCTAAAAAGTACTCTTGAAAATGTCTCAAAAAAAGCATTAAGCATTCTATTCATGATAATGCATTTTGTTTTGTGTACAAGATGCCCAAATCAAACTTACTTCCATTCAGTCCGTTCTTATTCATAATGGCCTATAGACAGAGTAAAAGTGCCTTTTTGTAGTTCGACTGTGCCTTATGAAACATCACTCTACCACAGAGCACTGCTCACCTGTGCTTAGAAGCCCAACTCATAACCCACTACCCCACTAGGGCTCCTGTAGATAGAATAAAGAATATCAAATAGAGATTCCATGTCAAAATGTTTCTGTTGTCCTACAAATAAAACCCCACTGCTTAAAAAAAAATCAACCCTATAACCTTAATACGAAAAGGTTTTTTGAGTTGTAAATATGAAACATGGTAGAACCATTTTAAGAGCAGTGTGAACTATAAAAAATGATACCTTTCTGAAAAGGATAATGGCAACTATGTACAAATGTGATTGGCACAATGGATGTATGTGTGGATTTTGATAAGAGATGTATAAGCCCCCAATAAAATGATTTAAATTGAAAAAGTGATACCTTTCTAGTGAGTACAGGGAAAATCAGGGAGTAAATAATTATGGAGAGAATGTTTAATATGTAATATGCACAGAAGTAGAAGTTTCATTATACCTCAGTCATATATTGATTAAAGCTGACTACTGGAACTGTTGTTACCAGTTAAATAAAAGTGTTTTGGGCTTTCATGATGAGGTCTCAGCCAACCCATATGAGTTAGCATTCCTCTTACAGCTAAGTTATTCTAGCTTTGCATCCATAGCCTGGCATTTTATTAATTTAAATAAATTACGTAACTTGAATAATAATAAGAGGTACTTGTACTTTTCACATCATTCTTTCACACTCATCTCCACCAACTGAAATCAACACTCCTGATAAGAAGGTGGCTAATAATTTCACCACATCTCTTTAATCAAGAAGGAAACTTCGTGTATGTTTACCACAGGTAGAAGAAACCATTCAAAGCAGGAAGGTAGGTCACAGTTGGCTTCCCATCACTGTACCTCCACTTTCCCTATGTACCTTTTGGCATCCTTCCACTGCCTACCATTTTCCCTCTCATCACTTCCAGCTCTAATCATTGGCACCCTTGACATCAGCACAGGCAAAGAACACCAGTGGAAACCACAGATTTTGTGTGTCATTTTCCAGTTGCCTGATGACCACACATCGACTGAACATTACTAATTAGTTGAGGCTTTAATTTTTCTTGAATTACTCATTTAACACAGAAGAAAATTCTCATAAACTCAACAGTTTCATTTTGATGTTAAAAATATTGTTTTCTGAAGAGCATCAGCATCGTTAGACTCTAATTACTAAAATAATGAGATCACGCTGCTTGTTGGGGTGTGGAGATAGGGCAGCCAGAGAAAAAGTTGCATCAAGGGAACTTTGGTGAGTTATGGAAAGATCTTTTGCAGAAATATATCACTCCAATGGCAGGGTGGAAAAAGGATTTTAGGAGATAGCAGATGTACCAATAGTAGATGATACACCAGGAGAGTGTT